GCAACTATTTGAACATTTTCGAAGTAGTTTTGGTGTCTTCGTCACCTGTAACGAGGCTGTCAGAGGCGGTTGACACGTAATACGAATACGGCCGGCAGGACCCCTATTGGTTGACCTGGCCTGACCTGACCCGACCTGGCCTAAAGGCAAAACGCATGAAGACATCATCTGTGATCAACACTAACACAGTATTCGTATTCAGCACCCCGAAAAACTCAATAGCAGCCACAATTTACATTTTACGACGTTCTAACAGGTCCCGATTTTCCCGATTTTTGAGTCATTGACCTGAACTGGAAGGTCAACCAATGACCTAGGAGATTAAAATTGAGTAGCATCCGCTTCTTCTCGTCACGGAAAGCACACTCGTTTTTCCGCGAAGTTCTAGTTCGATCAGGGGCCAAACGGCAAGGGGGTCCAACGGACCCTCCCCCTGCCCTTCCCTATACGTTCGCGGATGACAAAACACCAATATGGGCGAGAGTAAATCCGCTCACCGACGGGGGTCTGCGCCAATTTAGAACCGACGGGGGGTGATTGACCGCCCCCCCTTAAGATATCAAAAACGAAGCAAGCAGTAAACGGCATATTGAGTACGCACAATCAGGTCAAAGATGACGAGGTCTACAATTTTTACTGAGGTCATTTCCAGGTCAGGTCAAAGATGACGTCACAGGGGTCAAAATGTCTAAATGGCGGCGCTAGATATGAGGAGAGTATTTCTCGAATAACTTTCGAAGTAGCCAGGCTAGGAACAAACTAATCGCAACATCGTGATCCTCTCGTCAATCCGCGTCGAATCATATATGTGTTGAGCTCGAAAGGTCAAGGTCAAAGCTTGACCTAGAGGTCATCATGTATATCATTTGATGCGCCTTGACGAGCTGAACACAATGAGACCATCCGCGCAGCTGTATCTTGTTCCTGTAAGGAGTTATTAGCAAAACCTTTGGGTGACCCTCGATGACGTCACATGACCTTACAGCTGCCCAAGAGCAAAAAGAGCCTCAAGGTAGTCAAAGTTGATCGTATAAGAAGTCATTCATGGTATATTGGGCCAGTATGGGGGGATCAAGAAATTGACCTGACCTTAGGTCATCAATATCAAAATTCAAGTGATTTGAGGTTGGGTCATTGCAAGTTACCTGGTGACCTGATATTGAAAGGTAGGAGGTCCAACCTTGCACACCATGTGTAAAATTGATGAGGGAAAACTTATGCCAAATTTCGCGCCGCGGTTTTTCCGCTATCCACGAAAAAACCTCAGGGGGAGGGGAGGTTAAACGCGTCTACCCCCCCTCCCCCCCGTCGTTGCGCGGGTTAGAAATTACAACCACAAAATTATCTTTTTATTTGAACTGTGGCGGCTCCAGTGGCGCAGTAGTGGCTCCAGTGGCGCAGTTGGTAAGGCGTCGGTTCTGTGGTCGGGAGGACCCGGGTTCGATCCCCGGTGCCGCCCGGCTTCCGGACTGGCGTCCCCAACTGTGTCACTGGGGGGTGGGGTGGGCTCCCGCCTTGCACCGTAGCCCTGAGGAGGAGCAGGAGCCCTCCCATAAATGGGAAAACATATCCCGTGTGGAGGACGAGGAAAAAAAACTGTGTCCTGACCTTATGCTTATAGCCAACTAAAAATGGCTTTGGATGACATTTTTTCATATCATATGACTCAGACTACCTGAACCATATAACGTGTGTCAAGTGAAATATACCTAGGCAAGGAGAGGTAACTTCATGAAATCTTCAACTTCGTGATTCCCAATTTCTCAGAAATCTGAAAACTTACAGCGCTGTCAACCATCTCATCCTTCGGGGCTCGGGGCCTCGGGCAGTAGGCGGAGTGACTGTTTGGTAAGCAGTTGTCCATCTTGCGGTTTATATGGTACACTTTAAAATGTATTTTTCGATGTCAATTCCTTTTTTTGGGTTTATTAAAACCAGTGTGCCTTTCTCAACTTACCGAATTGAGGATTATCAAGTGGTGTTTGGTTTGCTAGGTCTCTGTCATGTATGTCAGTGGGCGACCCTGAACCTTTGTAATGCAGCCAAATAAGAATTATTGTCCAGGGTCTCAACTTCGAGAACCCTATAATCGTGATGAAAAAAGTAAGATAAACATTTTCTGAAAAGCCACCCAGGTTCTTATAATACTCTTTCCTAAAATATGTATACTTTCCATTGCCAGATATTTACCTTTACGCTGCCCGCTGCGATTTTATGCCTAGCCACGCACAAGGAGGGAAAGCATCAGGTATGGTCTGGACTGAACTCTGAAAACAACATGCGAGATGCATTGACGGCTGTTGAAAGAGGCAAAACGGTATATAGGGCCTTGGCAAAACTTAGCAAAGCTTCTCGCTTTTACGACATCCCAAGACAAATGCTTGTTTATTATCATCGAAAGATAATTCAAGAAGTTATGACCCTACGTCCGAAGTTAGGAACAAAAACGACTTTTTCAAAATGCAATTTGCGAAAAACCCACGGACGACAAAACGAACTAAGAAGGATTATAGCGTTTGCAATGAAGTGGTCGTGGTAGACAGGCCTTTGCATACCAACGCAAAATGTTGGCTCTGTAGGAAGATTTTTTTTCACGAAGTTACCTCTCCTTACCCTACACAAATTCCTTAAAAGTTTGTGGCCTTTAGTAGCCTATCCTGACCTACCTTTGACCTACAACATGTCAAGTACCGGCTCGGTACGTACAGGATATCTTCAGCGCAAGTACATTCATGAATGTTGAAACCAAAACAGTGCCTCCTCTAGCATGCTAACTGGTGGGCCGCGGCCCCCCAGTGATGCCGCTGCCCCCCCCCCCCCCAGTGGAGCTGAAATCGCGTCACTGGGGGGGGGCACGTAGTTAACCCACGCACCGACGGGGACGGCGGTTATCCGCCCCCCCCCCCCTCCCCCCTGAGGTTATTCGTGAATAGCGGGAAAGAGATTTGGCATGACTATTCTCTCATTAATTTTACACATAATGTGCAAGTTTGAACATCCTAACTTGTAAAGTCAGGTCACCAGGTCACTTCGAATGACCCAACCTCAAGCACTTTTTTGCAACTTTGTCACCGTGTCAGAGCAATAGTAGATGACGGAAACCTTTGAAAGTCATAGGATCTTATTAGGTCATTAGGGGCATTCCACGTCAAATCAAACACCGAAATCCGTCATCCCCTTCGATTTTTCTGAAAATTTGTAGGCAGACTGGGCATGGTTCAAAACTGAGTTACGTGTAATATTTTCGAAATTTGATAACGTATCGCCGAGATATAGGTCATCGAATATAGCCAAAAATGCCACACATCATTTTTTTAAATGCTTATAACTCTGGTTCCTTTTCTGGTATCAAAATGATATTAACAGGGTCTTGTAGGCAATTGATAAGGCTTTGATTTTTAATTATAAAATTAAATTGAAGTGACCTTGAAATGCATTTGACCTTGAATTAAAACAGAAAAATTTAAATAGCAAAAAACACGCCACCTTCGATTTGGGTAATTTTTACATATTATGTCCGTCACAATGTTCCTAACCATCTGTGAAAAAATTGGAGTGGGCCATTCATAACTTTCGCGGCAAACGCCGTTTTCATGCATCAACATCACGCAACCGCGCGTGACCTTGAAAGACAGAGTCAAGACATGCTTGCTTGTGTACACTTTCTGAAATGAATGATTGCTGATTAGTGATATCCCAAACTCTGCGAGAATGGAAATGCATAGTCATCGTAGTCAAGCATTCACGTTCCATTGTAAAAGTGTCTCAGGCAAACGGTATTTTGCGGTGAATTTTGAGCCGTGTGGAAATGCATCATGAAATAAATTCAACGAAAACATTATCACGCAACGATATCTTCACGTCTTTTGATCTTCACTATACGATAGAACATACATTTTTGAGTATGTATGGGGAATTTCTAGTTAATCCGATAATAAATATGGCAGTTAGAGTCCTGCTAAGAGTAACATGTCGCCGGCTGAGGCGGGATCGGCCGACGCGGGAAACGCAGCAGTCACAATTTTGTGTTTACACGTTCATATTTCAATTGTTTACCAACCTATTTTCAGAATTCTTTCACCATAAGATTGCCTGTACATTTCTTCGTCTTCTCGCAAAATTTGACGCGAATCGAACGTAATCAGCGGTAAGGAGCGCGATGTAAAGACGGAACCGTTCCGTTCCGTCCCGGCACAGTCTACAATTCAGGCGGCGCGTAGCGGTCGGCGCCGGCTGCCGAGTCGCCGCGTCGCCGCGGCGACAGGATGTTCACTTTACACCGCTATTACTAGAACAGTTGTGAACCGATTTTCTTATTGCTTGCACGATGAGATGTGCAATTCAATTCTGGACAGGTAGCCATAAGTAATTTCGCATCAATATTATGAGATATTGGCGAAAAACAGGAGGAGTGGGGCGAAATTCACTCTTCCCCCTCCACTGCGCGTGCTAACATACGTTTGCATATGTGCCATTTTCTTCAAAACTTATGAATGGCCCACTCTAATTTTTTCACAGGTTGTTAAGAATATGGTAGGCAATAAAATATATGAAAATGAGCCAAATCGAAGGTGGCGTGTTTTTTTGCTATTTCAATTTATGTGCTTAAGAACAGAGTTGAGCAAATTTCAAGGTCATATATTTAAGTCGATGCAATTCTAAACAAATGCTTAAGAAATTACCTAAACAGTAAGGTTTATTTCATTCAAATCAAACAAGTACAACCAAAGTTATGGTCGTTCAAAAATATAAAGATGCAACATTTTGTAAAAATTTGATGCCCTATATTTAGAAGACCTGTGGTCAGAATGTGCAAAAAACATCAATGTAATGTCCGGGGCGACACAGGAACTCGCTCACAAATTTATAATGAAATCGCTGATGGTAAGGTGCAAATCAGCCGATTTTTGTTCGATTTGACGTGGAATGGCCCCATTAGTAGCTATAATTTGTATATCTCGGAAAACCCGAGTCAGCCGTGGCTTAGCCAAACTACTCACGGCATTACATGCACCCCTAGCTTTGAAGGATCCTGTCTTCTGGAGGTTTTCCGCCTTGAAGAAGAGCTGGCGGCCGGTGAGCCGGTCCAGGTGTCTGCACGTGATGACGGGCGTGCGGTGCACGTGCGGCTGGATCCTCAGCTGGGCGGCGCGCACCTCGTGCACGCTCAGCTCGGTCATGGCGGCGCCGCGGACCGCAGCAGAGATCGATGGAGCACACCGGGCCGACGTCGGCGGCGGACTGGTGCGGCTCCGTGACCGCGCCGTGACTTTATACACTACAGCCGACCGGGCACAGCAGGGTCGTCACCGCACCCAACGGCGGGGAATTACATATCGCAATTTTACAGGGCTGCGGGTTCGAGGGATTTTCGTTAACTAGCTCTGTATTCGGTTTTTTGAAATCAACTTCGACTGTGGGGATCAAGAAACTTTAAAATGGGTCGTGAATATGCCGTTTTTATTTTATCTGAACATTAATCAGCGTATTCACCAATAAGTCCTCATGCCGATCTCAGAGGACCCTCTTTCTGCCAGTCCCAGACGGCCCATATCGACCTCCTCGTCTGGGAGGACCTCACACCGCGCCGGAGGGCACGGTATGATCATGGGGTTCTTGCATGCACGGTACTTGACCTGCACCGTAGAAGAGCCGCATCGTTTTTCGACTAACAAGCTACAAGCAATGCCGACTTGACATTACAAGCAATGTCGACTTTGATAGCATCGTCGATTGCGACTGGCTTCAACACGGCAGTCCTGGTTTTGAGGGTGCTCGAGCACGGCCCTTCCTTCACCCCGCCCGCAGCGGCTAACGTGTGGGTAGTGTCGATGAAACATCCAGACAATCGAGCCCTGAGGCTGACAAAAAAAAAAAATAGCGTAACGCTCAGAGCATTTACTTTGACCATAACAACCGAACCTTTCTTAATCCACGCCCCACTGGGGATCCTGGATTTTGCATGCCCTGCTGGGTGTTTGAACCCCCTTCTAACTCGGCTCCTGGGCAGTATAGCGGTGGAACACCTTCAATTAAGGGGGGGAGCACTGCCGACTTTTTGTCCCATTCTTTCCATGCAACGCCCATAGGGCCAATGTTAAAATGGCAAAATCAAGGGGGGCGCGATGCCCCGGTGCCCCCCCCCCTTCCGCCGCCTATGCTCCTGGGCCACGTAGCGACACGCTATGGGCGGCGTTCGAAAGAGTCAAAATAATGACGGGGCTTTTTCGGTCACTTTCTAGGTCAGGTCAAAGGTCAGGTCACTAGGTCATCAAAGTTCGAAATTTGCCAATTCTTAGGTCCAAAGTTGACAATTTTAAACAAATCGGCACATAACTCGGAAACGGGTAGAGCTACGGGTTACGGCGCCGCCGAAAAGCGCAGATAATAGCACTCTTAACGTTCTTCCTGTAAACTGTCCTCAAATTTGACCTAAAGTCAACGGCTTAGCCTCCATGGGGACAAAACACTGCCAAATTAGACAATTTTTGCGGAAACTGTTTTTTTCAAAAATAACTTTCGAATCAAATCTTGCATGAGCTTATATTACCGGCACCGGGTGTGTTCTTCTCGTCAAGACGCGTCGAATGACTTATGATTTGACTTTGAAAGATCAACTTCGAAATTTGACCTCTGGTCAAGGTCATGACCCGACCGGAAAGGTCGTGCTGCAAATCAGTCGATCCGTATCGTCAAGTTGAACACATGATGTGTTCTCATTGCTCTAGCATGTCAAAAGTTAGTAGCGAAAAACTGTTACATACTTTACCTTTCATGACCTGAGGTGACCTCAGGGACATAAGAAGGGGTCACAGGTGCCAGTTTCACCTTCAGTGTGTCCACTTTACTCAACTCGGTGTCATTAAGTGTTTAAAATGACTCGTCCAAAAGAGGCGCCTGTCAATTTTATCACATACATTGACTTATAGGAAGGTAATGGAGTGGGCGCAAATTTGACCTGACCTTAAGTCATCGATATCAAAATTCCTAGACCTACATTTTATACATGCTATTGTCCTTATGCATTGCTGAAAATTTCAAAGTGATCCGTCCCTTCGGTATAGCTATCACCAGCATTGGAACGTTGTCTGAGGCGAGTTCACTTGACGTGACCTGGTAACCTGACCTCAAGTGATCTTGGTCTTAAATTTTCACAACATATGCCGAAAAGATGTATGACAATGTGTGGCAAAGACGGTGGCTTTGCGAAAAACCGCAGGGGAACACCTCCCCTAGGCGCGGGTTTACCAACGCGACGGAGGAAACTGAGTTTGTCGTTCTGGGAAATGCATTGCAAAGAGTTTCGGAATCTTATCTTTTGATACCTTCGAAAATGCATGTTTGAATGCAGATAATCTTTAGCTATGTTCAAAGGAAGAAAAATCAAAGTGTTCAAAATGCTAGCCGAATAATTACTAAAAACACATCGGCTAACCAACCACTATTTTGCTGAAGGGCTTAAAATTACTTGTACGAAAATGGCATTGCAAATAATTGCGTCATCATTGGGCGCAAAGATGACAGGTTTGAGGCGCATGACATGAGATGACAGGCGCAAAGATACTATGTTTGTAGTTCAATTTTTAGATAGGTATTTAGGATTTATCTGAAGTTTTGTCAGCGTTAGATTTGTCACAGACTGTCATAAGCATATGTATGTATATTCCGGCTTTAATTTTTTTTTGAAAAACCAAAATTTAAGTGATACCTAAGTCGTAAATCGTAATAAATTCATGCTTTGAAAAATTGAACTTTAAATATTGCTTTTGTGAATATGGCTCCACTTCCCATCACAAATACCTACTTAGTCTCGTTATTTCCCTGTGATGCAATGAGCATTGAGAAACAGGTTTTGAGGTGAGGATCTTGGGATATTTTCAGCGAGATCTATGGATGAAGCCGAGAAGTGACGTCATTACCGCCAGGGATGTCCCTTATAGCTCGTAGCTGCTGTGCGCCGCTGGTCGATTTTTCCCACACTCAGCCGTGCGGCCCGCCGGCGGACAGACGGCGGAATTTACCCGAGCACCTATAATCTAACCGGTCGCTACAGCCGCAGACCGCATACGAGCATCTCCGAAACCAGGAATCCCTCGCATAATCGCTCGTGAACCAGCCGATAGTTCTAAGCTCCACAGCTTACGTATATGTACCTAGTACCTACAATAGTACGTTTCGGGTTACCCGCAACCCCTATACCGGAATTAGGGACTGCAAAAAGTGTGCAATGCAGAAAACCCGCAGTGGCTACTGGCTATCCTATTCACGGGTGACGTGGCTACCGCACAGCAAATACCGTCCGTGCCAGTATAATCACAAGTTATCCTTAGGTATCGGAAAACGTGATGCGCTGCGGAAGATCCATGTCGCACCGCCAAACAATACCTTATTAGCTATGGCAGTAGGTTAAACCAGTAAAAACATACCTACGTGAACATCGAGAAAGGGGACTCTAAATTCTGTCATAGACAGGAATTACGAGATCCGAGGATGGAGGGCAGGGCCAACGCAACAAGCTGTGCTTAGTGGGGACTTTGTCCTTGTGATTTCCTCCATTCAAAAGGTTCGGAGTAGTTCGGACTAAATTTATAATAAAAATATCTATTAACCCTCGCCGGCTGAAGGGTGGGGGGGGGGGGGCGGGTGCCGCTCCCATAGTTTTTTTTTTCGCGATAGCTCCGAACACGCTGGCGATAGAGAGCTGAAACTTGGCATACCTAACCTTTGATTCCAGCCGGATCTTTTGACATCAACCGCATTTTCGGGTCAGGTCAGGTCACTGACCTATGACGTCATAAGTGAACCTCTACACGGTCTTCAGATGTCGCAACTTCGCAACGCCCTCACTGCCAGAGGAGCTATCACAGGGAAATTAAACTTAAAACTTGCATGATCTACTATCCATTACGAGTCTCACAACTTGTATATCTCGGATTTTTTCTTAAGGTCATATGAGGTCAGGCCATTTTCGTGACCTCATTATTACCTACAAGTCAATGGGGAAAAATGAAAATAGCTATTCTGGAGCTGGGAACGATCTCCAACTATCTTAAGCAAGCAGAATCGTGATTTGATGCACTCCTTGCAAGGTTAGATGCGTCACTTTTGCAATGTTTACCTTGCGTGACGTCATTTATGACGTCATCAAGGTCATATTCGTTTTTCGTCAATAACTCCCGATCAAATTGAGCTAGCGAGTCGGGAAAGCCACCAATGGACTCAGGAAGACCTGCCGAATCGAATGATATGCGACATGACCTCTTCCGACCAGCTTCGTGACCTGGGGGCGCTGACCTGACCTTGACCTGAGGTCAACACCTAAGTTGACCTGACCCAAGCAAAAAGTATAACATCCGACGCGCCTGAGCAAAGCGAACACGATACTGCCAAAATCGGCGCTCTGCGGCCGTTTTTTGCGAAGTTATTCACCAAAAACTGAACCGTAGGTTGGGGGCACTTGACCTGACCTCAGAGGTCACCGGTTGACCTAGGACCTTAAAATCGGGTACCAATCTCTGCGTCACGTAACGGCGCACACGCTCGTTTTTTTCCGCGACGCGCTAGCTCCACCAAGGGCGAAACGGCGAAGGGGGGGGGGTCGTACCCGCCCCCCCCTCGGCCAGCGCGTATGCAGAAAACCAATACGTCCGGCGAGGGTTAACCCGGCAGGCGGTAGGCCTCCCGGCCACCTTCCGCGCGGTGGGCATATTTACGTCTGGACAACGAGTTGCGTGGAGAGGCCGGAAATAGTGGCGGTGGGGGGGGGGGGGGATTTTTTGCCCCACCTCCCGTATCTCCGAAGCATACTGAACGGATCCGTAAAATTAAAACGGCGTTCGATAGCCCTGTCAAATTTATGAAGAGAAACCAAATTTCATTGACCTCCAGTGGCGGATCCAGGGGGGGGGGGGGAATGGGCATTTGCCCCCCCCCCCTCCCAAACGGCATAATTTTAACATTACGCCTATGGACGAAGGTCATCGATGACGTCACAGGTCAGGTCAAATATAAAATGTTTCACCATTCACGGGCCTCCTTAACGCATTTTGTCGAAAATCAGCGATAGGACGTCAGTTGCCTAGTACATACATATGTTGCTATTAGAGATCACTGGTAGTACAAGTTCAGGTCACAGGTCAGGTCACCGAGGGTCAGCACATGAACCCAACTTTACTAAGGTTGTGCGATGCACGGTGCGATGCATGTTTTATGGCCAATTTCCTACTATTTCTTAACCCTCGCCGGCACAGGCCATTTTGCGTCCTTCGACGGCACAAGGGGGTTGGTTGGTACGACCCCCCCTCGCGTTTGGCCCCTGATCGAGCTAGAGCTTCGCGGAAAAAACGAGCGTGTTGCCCGTCACGAGAGGAAGCCGATGATACCCAATTTTAAGGTCCTAGGTCATCGGGTGACCTTCCAGGTCAGGTCAATGACCCGAAAACCGGGAAAATCGGGACCTGTTAGAAAGTCGTAGGTGTGGCTGCTATGTGGTTTTCCGGAGGGCTGTTCACGGGCCCTGTGTGCGGTCGGACCGCACACAGCCTCCAAGCTCCGCCCACTGCGTCCCTACGTCAGCCTTCCGTCACCGCACACAGCGATCGCTGTGGCCGGTCGGGACTGGCCACAGCGGACCGTCCACCGCACGCAGCCGTGACGTCAGAGCCGCCTACCCATCCCCTACCCCCACGCCTGCTGGACGCACCGCACACACCGCACGCAGCAGTGTGCCGTGCCCGTGAACACCCCTCGGGGTGCTGATCACGAATATCGTGTTAGTTTTGATCACAGATGATGTTTTTAAGCATTTAGACCAGGTCGGGTCAGGTCAGGTCAGGTCAACCGGTAGGGGTTGTGACGGGTATTCGTAATACGTGTCAACCGCCTCTGGCAGTTTCGTAACATGTTACGAAGGCACCAAAACTACTTCGTAAATGTTCAAATGGCTGCTAAATTCGAATTCAGCTCCAAAAACTAGCCTAGAAACATGTGAAACTCGAAAAAGTGAACCGAGGTCACCCGAGGTCACCAAAGGTCAATGATCTGACCTGACCTTCAGGTGACCTTAACACCCACCCTAATGTATGGGAGCAACATCAAATCACATGTTTGAACGTTTGAAACCACGAAAAGCTTGCAAACGCGCGGCTAATGCGAGCCGACATACGCCGAATCGCGATTTCGGCCAAACATGGTCACGGAAAAGAGGTCACAGGTCAAAGGTCATTGGGGTCAGGGTCATGAAATTTTCAGGGAACGTGTAAAATTGATCAATGCGAGGGTACTGAAAGTTTCGTCGCGATCGGCCGCTTTTTACGCGAGTTATTCGCGAAAAACCTTGGGGGGGTTGCATCAACCCCCCCCCCCCTGTGCCGGCGAGGGCTAACCCGCGCCCCACTGAGGGGGGGGGGGCTATATTCATAGCCCCACTCCCCGTGTAAGTCCCGGAATGAAAACCCCTTGGCATGAGCTGGCTCGATAAGTAACTCAGAATGGATGGATATGACGGCGACGAGTGGCGGCTTCTCGACATCCAGCCGAAATGCTTACAAATGTGGAGAGTCTGCCCACTTGGCCGCGGCCGCAAAAGAGGGTGTGGCGGATGTATTTCTTAAATTGATCTTTTTCGACAAAACACGCAGGAACTCTAATGATAAAATAAAGCGTCCACGCACGTGTAATGCACTACGTGCCACGGAGGCGACTCTGCACGGAGCTCATTTGAGAAACGATGGGGAAGGGATGGGAGGGAGGGAGGGAGGGGACGGGGATAAATCCGTGCTAGGGTGGGCAGAATCCCCGCAGTGCAGTGACACCGATGTCAGCTCAGACGGCGCCAGCGGGAGCAGTACGCTGTGCGCATACCAGCGGCCAGCCGGCCCCATTGCGCCGCCACCGGGCGCCGCCAGTCTAGCAGCCATTGAAACATTGCGCCAGGACGTTTTCTTCGAAAGATGATCGGCAAACAAATGCGCGCATATCCGACGTCACTTTCTGCCGACTCCGGGGTACTACCGCATCAGTTCCCGGTAGTTTGCGCAGCGCAGACGGCCGAGAGACGCCAGAAAATCCACTACTGCGGGATTATCAGCGATAAAACCACAAACGGCCGCAATCCTCCAGTGCTTTTTTCATTCAAGGTTGGTATCACGGCCACCACAAGCGGTCACGTGGAGGCCATCAGCCCACTACGAACTAACATACTGTTAGCCCGATATGGAACCTGAACTTATTCACAACGACCAATGAGGTTTACCGATAGCGACGGCTCTCCAGTATGGCTATGACAAACAGGAGCGCGTTCGTAAGATATATATTTTCTGGATTCGACTCTTAGAAGCACAATCGCCACAAAAAAGACACTATTTAACGTCGCAAAGCGCATAGTGTTCTATCACACAGGTACCACAGCTAAAAATAACAGTACGCAGCAGTGAGCGCCGTCCTGCCGTGACGCAGCCTGGGTTCTGGGGCGCCAGGGCCGGATAGGCCATCGGCACCCGCGGGCATCATCGTTCTACCTGATCATCGAGATAACAGCAGCTGTGACACAATCGGCACTCGGTAGCGCGCGCCAACAGTCCGCGGGAGCGGCCGGCCCGCTGCTGCCGGCCACACCGCCCGCCGCCCGGCGCCCGGCGCGGGTCGGTGGGTGGGTGGGTGATGGGTGCGCCTGCCACCGGCCACACCGCCCGCCGCCCGCCCGGCGCGGGTCGGTCAGTGGGTGGGTGATGGGTGCGCCTGCCACCGCCCGCCGCCCGGCGCCCGGCGCGGGTCGGTGGGTGGGTGATGGGTGCGCCTGCCACCGGTCGGCGCCGCCCCACACTGCTGTGACTACTGGCTTGGTGCGGACCCGGCGGCCGTCTCCTAGTCGGCCTGACTGCCGCTCAGTGACGACTGCTTCACCTGGTAGTCGTTGAGCGCTGCCTTGATGGCGTCCTCTGCCAGCACTGCAGGGAGGGGGTACGGTCAGTGGGGAGGTAGAGGGAACAGAGGGGAGGCGGCACGGTCAGTGGGGAGGTAGAGGAGGGGAGGCGGCACGGTCAGTGGGGAGGTAGAGGGAACAGAGGGGAGGCACGCAGGGAGGCGGCACGGTCAGTGGGGAGGTAGAGGGAACAGAGGGGGGGGGGCGGCACGGTCAGTGGGGAGGCAGAGGGAGCAGAGGGGAGGCACGCAGGGAGGCGGCACGGTCAGTGGGGAGGTAGAGGGAACAGAGGGGGGCGGCACGGTCAGTGGGGAGGCAGAGGGAGCAGAGGGGAGGCACGCAGGGAGGCGGCACGGTCAGTGGGGAGGCAGAGGGAACAGAAGGAAACCTGAGGGAACAGAGAGGCACAGGAGGCGGTAGAGGGAACAACAGTGGGAAACAGGGGGAAACAGAGGGGAGGCAGAGGAACAGAGGGAAAGGGAGGAGAGACCGAGGCCGGGCTGGCTGGGGTACCCATCACAGGCTCCTCACACAGTCGGCGGCAGCACAGCCGCGCCACCGGGAGAGCGCCGCGATAGCCGCGGTCGGCAAATGTTATAACCAATCACTATGCAGACGCTCGGTATTCGCTAATAACAGACCACGAATAATGAGCGCAATTGAAATCGTTCGAAAACGTAGCTTCATGACTTTATGAGTGTGGCCTGCTATCATCATTCATCATCATATGTTTTTGATGATTTCCCACAGCTGCGATTACTAAAATACAGGGTGTCCCATAAGTTCGTTCTCACCTAAATTTTACGTTTTTAGGCTTTCTTGCTTAAAGGCACGCTGAAATTGGTTCGTAACTGAGCTTACATGGTTGCCATGGCTGGTAGAAATATGCTCCACAGTAGCTAATTTCTGTAGACAAAATAGTTTTTGCTATAGAGCCCGCTTCCTACAGAGACGGCTAACGCCGCAACATAGAGGTCTCCGATACGGGTACGTCTCAGTATTTAGTCAGCACGTGACCATTCGTGACGATTGAGGGTGATTAAAGGAAGGGTGCCACCTTTTGGACACAACGCAGTTTTTACAAGATTAGCCTCACATGAACCTAAAAACCGGCTTCACTTACCTATGCTCGAGACGGTCAGCATTGAATCCGCACGTGAAGTTATCATTTGCCAGTTTTGCTGCCAGCATTCGGGCAGGCAAAAATCTTCAGCACTATTTCCTCGTCGTATTTTATAAAACATGAAATCAGCAAAGGTATGTATAAAAGTTATACTTTTGAAGCATGTTTTATCATTTTGAAAGGGTATATTTTTTTCTTTATGGTATACACTTAAGTTTTAAAATTTTAATTGGGAAGTTTTTCTAGTAAGTTGCATGAAGGGTGAAGGGTTCCATAGATCTCTTAAGCATTGTAAAGGAAAAACCTTTACTCGACTTATTTGATGTTCTTTTCTGATGTTCTTTCTGATGTTCTTTTGATGAAACCTTTAGTTCAAATCATGTTATCTTCTTCCTTTTCATTTGTTCATCTTTTTGTCTCAGTTGCGCCATCAATGCAAATGGCAGAATGATATGTTGCCATGACAACAGGATATGCCAGCCGTCCTAGCTGCCACATCAAACGACCTTGAGTTGTAGTGGTGATATAAACAACGATCTTTTTTTTTTGGCCAATGTATTAAATGCAATGTTTCGGTTTTTTGTATATTGTGGACGCGCTAACCACGTCTAAAAATTCAAATAAGTAAAATAGATTCATAGAACAAAAATTTCGGAAGGTGGCACCCTTCCTTTAAGGCCTACCAGTCTGTAGCCAATATCCATCGCTAACTGGACGCACAGTCAGCAAGTGACGCCGATGATTTGTTGGGAGTCAATCACTGCAAGTTTATCCTCTTTCTAGCCAGCCCTCAGGAATGAGCCAAGTGGCCAAAACTGTGTGGCGCCAAAGTGGCCATCAAAAAGGTCAAAGGGTTAGAAAGTTGATAAACAGACTTTTCAGGATGGATTACCAGCCGTCTAAGAGTGTTCTTTCGGGGTACATAACTCAAGGTGACTTAAGCTTTGCTTACCGGAGGGCACAAAACAGTCAAAAACGTCTTAAAATGGCTAAACATGAGTTTCGTTATGCCTGAGGCTAAACAAAACTAGAGGGCTGATGACCAACCAGGTCATCTGGACTAACTAGTCCACGTTCGAGATGAAACACCCGTCCAAACCCGAAAACAACCCCATAAGGGCGAAGGAGGAGGCCTTCATTTCGTCCCGTTATGTTCCTATGCAAAAGGCCAGGGTCACTGTGTTGTGGGGTTATGGGCGTTCTGGAGTTGATCAAGTTATAAGTGGCAACCCAGAAACAGTTTTGGGAAGCAGAATGCTTTTCCAAGAACATCTAGGAGGAATTTCAGCCCTCAAGCTGAACTCGAACCGCGAGTATGAACACATTTATAGAGGAGAAAATGGCATCCGGGAGGTCGTAGGCCCATCTTCAGTAGGGGTACCCATTTTTGGGTCAATTTTTCAAATTTTAGGTGGGGGTGGATTTTCCCATTATTTGGTCTATTCTGATTCCAGCTGTGCCAAAAATAGCGAAATCAAACGATTTCTAGGGGTCGCGAATTCAAAATGAAAATGCCAGTTTTAGCGAAAAATCGACCAAATTAATGCTATTTTATTTTGGAACAAGGTTACCATGCTAACAGGTGGGAGTCAATGTTCCCATTATTTGGTCCATTCTGATTCCATCTGTGCCAAAAATAACGAAACCAAACTATTTCTAGAGGTCACGTATTCAAAATGAAAAGGTCAATTTTAGCGGAAAATCGACCAAATTAACATTATTTTATGTTGGGACAAAGTTACCATGCCAACGGTTTGGGGTCGATTTTATCATTATTTGCTTCGTTCTGGATCTAGCAGTGACAGAAATAACGATATCAGACCACTTTTAGGGATCGCGAGCTTGCATTGGAAGTTTTAATTTTACTTGGAAAAATGACTTCACATGAATGGATATAAATGCGCAAAGCCTGAATGTGTTGCAGTGGTATTAATGACTGTTGGACACCGTACAACATTGCTTTAGTTGTAGGTATATTCGACGTGCAGCGGTAAAAGAGAGCACCAAAAATATCATTTTGGTCAATGAACATTGAACAGCATATGCTCATTTACAATCACTGTGGCTTAGACCGTCATTAGTACCTACATATACACAAGACCGTAACTCTTATAGAACGACTGGCTATGTAGTCAGAGGGCTCAAATCAGTGATCGAAGCTTTCTCATTAGGACCATTTAGTTTTCAATGAGTCGTCTTATTCAGCAAAAGAAATGACTGAACCCCAGGACGTAAACAATGAATATTGACACAATCTGGGTGGGAGGGGCATTAAAAGCCGTTACGGATGTGACGATATAACTCGTGTGTCGTATTGTAACGGAAATATGGCATGAAGTAGATAAATAAGTTGTTAATGGCCTATTTATATCTTTAACGAGATGAAAACAGCACTGAAGCTATGCCGGTATGCATGACCTTTGCCAATTCGCTAGCCGACCTCCCCTATAGTCCCGGAGTTGCAGACACGGCTGAGGGAGGGGCGCAAGCTTTACACCACCGCGCCGCTGGGTGACTGCTGTATGAGTGTAGCTTTGTCCCTCTCCCACAAACAACCACACCCACATACAGACTTTTGTTTAGACTGTTGACATATTGTTGACTTGAGACGGGTGCAGATATCATGTCATGGAACTAGTGCCTGGTGATGGCCGCTGCCAGCGGCGCCCTTGCAAGATAACGGACCTTACGCTGCACTCTACAGGCCCAGTCCAAACCCTCAGATGGTGCTGAACTGAAGTCGAATGGCATTGCCTAAAGCTGGAAATTAGGAAGATGCCAAGTCTAAACGACTCAGCCAACTCCGAGGCAGATCCGTTTACTGACTCCTGGCATTGCCTGGGGGCCGACACATTGGGTGGGCCATGGACCTTAGGTGGCGGACCTAGTTCTCCTCGTCTTCAGCCTCTGCACGCACACTCTTTTATATGACGCCGCGTCCTGGTTACCACCATATACGGCCCATGCAGGATGAAAATCTTCTGCTTCATTAGGTTCTTCAGATTCAGACGCCAATTACCTCAGATCACAAGTGATCTGTGCAAGGAGCTGTGAAAGGTCTTCGTCACTTATCAGCTATGCACGTATCAGCGCAATGGCTAGTCGCCCGTGGTCGAAAATGCAAAGTCGTAAATGATGTGCAATGTGCATTATATCGGAAACTCTTACACTTAAGACGTGTAGGTACTCGTATCTGTCCCCACTGAAGAAATAGAATAGTAGGTACATGGTTGGTAGGCATGGAAAGAATCGACGCTTTGGAGTTTATGTTTTTGGATTAGAAGTTGATATTTTTGGGTAGAACACCCAGATTTATTCTACCTTGTCTCATACGTGTATAACATCGTAGCCGTCAGCGACAGTAGCGGTGGAACACCTTCAATTAAGGGGGCACTGCCGACTTTTGGTCCCATTCTTTCCATGCAACGCCCCTAGGGCTAATGTTAAAATACCAAAATCAAAGGGGAGCACGGTGCCCCGGTGCCCTCCCCGTTCCGCCGCCTGTGGTCAGCGATCAGGACGGCGTGTCTTGTGGAAGTATACGGTCAAAATGGTTTGATCGTTTTTGAATTACATGGTTTGAAGTCCATTCGGAGCCATAACCTGTGAGATGTATCCTGAGCTAATTTGCGGAAACTTTAATTGTATGGTCACAAAAAGCCTGTCATGAACTGAGATGTGGCAACTGAAACGTCATATTTAAGTTTGACCTCACAGGTCATCAAAGGTCACCAATACCAAAGGTCACCAAAGGTCACATGAAGGCAGAAGATATCAAAAATGATTACACGCCGACCAGAATGATACCAACAACAGGAGCAAAACATCACGGCGCTTTTCACCAAATGTTGCAATATCGACTTGTATTGATCGCTAGTAAGGCATTTAACCGGAGCCACGTGATGGAGCACATCGATCTGGATGAAAAAGGAGCGCTCAATGACCCCTCTACCCGACTTTCGAAACAAAAAGTTTGCCTTTGGTGCGATTTACTATCAGCGTAAAATAGGCATATTTCTAGGTAAATACGCAAATTTCAATATCAATTCGCGACCCCTAAACCACCTTTGATTTCAATATTTTTGGCATCATTGAAATCAGGAGCCGCGAAATAATGGGAAAAACCACCCCCACCCTCAAATTTCCAAAATCGGGAAAAATGGGTACCCCTAATCTTCAGGCAAGACAGTGCATAAGCAAAGCTTAAAAGCGGTGCAAGGAGACTGTGACAGGCGTTTGTGGCAAGATCACATGCCAGGCACCTCATCGGATCAAAATTTCATAAAAATTTGTTGGTTATACTAAAGTTGAGGCTCGTCGAAGCGTAGCGCTGTTCCAGCCTCGAGGAGCTCACGGCGCATGTCAAGTTAGTCTGGGTTAACTTTAAGCCTGCTATGCAGCCAAACATGCCGGTTGGCATGCCGCAGCATGTATTCATGTGTTTGCCTATTAAATGGGGAGCACATTGAGGGGTCATAAATATACCAAAACGCAATGTACTCTGTTTCACATGCAAACATAATGTGAGAACGAACTTATGGGACACCCTGTAAGTCTGTTTTAGGTTTGACCCAAAATCACGTCATCACGACTTCGACTGACAGCCCACAATAATAGACCCCGGCAATAGTTATGGCGGCAAACGGCCCGGAATAATAAACCTTTATTCACTTTCATGCATAAAAATCATTTCCGATTATGCTCAAACCCGAAAGCAAACCCGATATTGATCAATCAGCCCGGATAGGTAATTTTACGTTGCAAGAATCCTTCAGCGAATCGACTGTCAGTCTTCATTCATGAGCACCAGTCAAACAGACGATTTTTGCGGAGGCCTAAGGCTACATTTGAATTACACCAAGTTTAAAGGAAATAGTTCACTTTAAACGTTTTGAACTTGAATAGCAGTTTTGTAGCTTGAGCTGAGACTAGCACAAATCAGAAGCTTTTACGGCCCAACGATCACCTTAGACGAAGATATTCCATTTCTCGTTCCGAAAAAGAGTGCCTTGCTGAGGAATGCGGCCACGTCATCGTCAGCCAACTAGCATGCTGCTTACAGCCAATTGGTTTGTGCCACGCAATATGATTGGTTAACGCGTAATAATGCTTCCGCGTCAGACAATATTTTATATGGAATATACTGTTCTTCCTATATTAAAATATAGAAAATATTATCATTTATAAAAATGTTTGATTTTCTTCGCTGATCATTTTGGGCAAAAAATAATCAATCAATTGCAAAAAAACTAATTTCGGGAAAGTGAACTATTCCCTTTAGTGTTCATGAACTCCCCCACACACAGTCAATGGCCAATGCAGCAGTCGGTGACTCCGCCACACTCACTGGAGCAGTGCAGTTTGACGGGCGGCAGGCACAGCTCCTTAGCGATGTCTGTGTTCTTCAGTTTGCCGGCGTCCTGGAGCTGCGAAACAGAGGTGAAGGTCAGAGAGGGGAGCCAAGACCGGGGCGGGGGTCAGAGGCGGCTCGGAGCCGGGCCGGGCCAAGGCTCTCTAACCGCCGAGCAACCGTCGAACACCAGGAGACAGCCGCCCACAGGACACGAAAGTGAGTGACGGACCAAACACCACGCGAGCGTGTCTGTCACCGAGGAAACGTGAGGACTTGACCAAGAGCTTGCATGTGACACTGGACACATGAATGGAGACATATTGCCTCAATGTAATGGCATACTAAGAAGGAACCCCAGGGACACTTAGAATCTGCGGAGCGGCCGACCGCCAAACACCGCTACAAAGCACGACCATGTGTGTCCAAGTCCAACGAAAACGATCGCAAACTGGAAAAACCATCTCATCAAATATCAGTTATCAGTTATCACCAATGGATTTCATCAAACACTGACAGTTTGGGCGACCGGGGGCACACGACGCGCAGCGTACCGATTTGCCCTTGATCCATTCGGTGGCGAGCGAGCTGGAAGCGATGGCAGAGCCGCAGCCGAACGTCTTGAACTTGGCGTCCACGATTTTACCGTTCTCGTCAACCTGACGGAAAGTAAATGGGACCAATTAACTAGCGCAAAGCAAAATAAGTAGCAACAACTGTGCTGAACGATATTAATTATTGATCATTTCAAGGGGTGGATGGGGGGGGGAGGGAATGCAGGAAGAGAGGGGAGTGAGGGAGGGAAGTAGGGAGAGGGCGAGGGAGGGAGAAGAGAACCCGATGGGATAGCTACTTACCTTGATCTGCAGCTTCATGACGTCGCCACAGGCGGGCGCGCCCACCAGGCCCGTGCCGACGCTCTTGTCCCCCTTATCCAGGGAGCCGACGTTGCGTGGGTTCTCGTAATGGTCGATCACCTGCCAGTGATAGTCACCGTGTCAGCGATGGGCCCAGGACTAGATACTCGGAACCCTGAATCACATAACGTCGAGTCATCTACATGATACGAATGACTTAATCCTTCAAACTTAGGTGTTTGTGGGGCCAAGGGGCAGAGTTCAGCTAGCTGTACCTACCTTGGCATGATACTGGGCGGTGAGAACTGAGAGCTGTGGCGCCAGTGATGGAAGGCTTCGGCATATGGAACGCAGATTCGTAAGGGCCATGATGACAGTTCACACCTGCAAGTAGCAGACCAGCGCACAACTTTAACACTAAGCAATAAAATCGAGAAAATGTTAACAACATGCTGTGAATTCATTTCCATCCCATGTGGAAAACTACTGGATTGGATCATTGCCTTCAGTATGTTCCAGGTACAGCCGGTACAGCTGAGATAATCTCATATTGCATTTGCTTGTCAGACAGGTTGACACAATCAGTGCAAAATAGAGATCACAGTAATCACAAACCAGACTTGCTGTCTTCCTTTATAAATTTCACCTTACATCCAACTGACATCCCTGGCTCACATATCCACGCTGCGTCAACTTCTCCGGGGTTTTCGGACCTATGCTTTCGAATCTCGCCATGTTCTACCTCCACCACCTCTGACTTCTGAGTCTTCCTCTCCCCGACATGATCAGGGGGTCAAATTCAACTTTTTCAAGTCCCAAAATTGCTTCTACTCGCTGGCACAGGGACGGGGGTTGATGCAACCCCCCTAAGGTTTTTTCGCGAATAACTCGCGTAAAAAGCGGCCAATCGCGACGAAACTTTCAGTACCGTCGCATTGATCAATTCTACACAAACCCTGAAAATTTCATGACCCTGACCCAAATGACCTTTGACCTGTGACCTACTTTCCGAGACCATGTTTGGCCGGAATCGCGATTCGGCGTATGTCGGCTCGCATTAGCCGCGCATTTGCAAGCTTTTCGTGGCTTCAAACGTTCAAACATGTCATTTGATGTTGCGCCCATGCATTAGGGTGGATGTCAAGGTCACCTGAAGGTCAGGTCAGGTCATTGACCTTTGGTGACCTCGGTTCACTTTTCGAGTTTTACATGTTTCTAGGCTAGTTTTTGGAGCTGATTTCGAATTTAGCAACCATTAACATTTACGAAGTAGTTTTGGTGCCTTCGTAGTTCGTAACATGTTACGAAGCTGTCAGAGGCGGTTGACACGTACTACGAATACCCGTCACGACCCCTACCGGTTGATCAGGGCCCTGTTTCACCGGTGCTAGCAGCACGCTGCTATCAAATTGCGCGAGCTGGCATAATGTGATGATGTCACACTAATTACATTTCTTGTAATCCGTGAGCTTTTTCATAGCTGCGTTTGGAACAGAGTTGCTGTCTCGTCGAATGTGTTTGATACATTTGTTTGATTGCACGGCCGTGAAGATGTCAGCGGCAATATTTGATGACATCACACAGATTGACGACGTCATGGTTTGTTGATGCTTCCATGGAAAACCAATTTGACACGTGTAATAGCAGCGTGCTGCTATCACCGGTGAAACAGGGCCCTGACCTGACCCGACCTGGTCTAAATGCTTAAAGACATCATCTCTGACCACAACTAACACGATATTCGTAATCAGCACCCCGGAAAACCCCATGGCAGCCACACTTTACGACATTCTGACAGGTCCCGATTTTCCCGATTTTTGGGTCATTGACCTGACCTGGAATGTCACCCGATGACCTTGGACCTTAAATTTGGGTATCATCGGCTTCCTCTCGTGACGGGCAGCACGCTCGTTTTTCCGCGAAGCTCTAGCTCGATCAGGGGCCAAACGCGAGGGGGGTCGTACCAACCCCCTTGTGCCGTCGAAGGACACACAATGGCCTGTGGCGGCGAGTTAATTAAAATCAGGGGCGTCACCACTGATTTTTGACTAGGGGACGGATCAGGGGCGTGGGAACTAGTTTCAAACTGGGGGGAGGGGGCACACCATAATAGAGATCAACCTAGGGTACACCCAAATCTAGTTTTCTCACAGGGTTTAGGCCACTTACTTTTCATCCCTTGACTTTTTCAGCAAAAAAGGAAACATTTGCAAAAAAGTGCAGTATTCCATCTCCTCCAACACTACCAGATGTGTGACGTCAGCTCACAAAATGAAATGGCAGCGTGCTGCTATTACACGCGTCAAATTGGGTTTCCATGGAAACATCAACCATGACGCCGTCAATCTGTGTGATGTCACCAAATATTGCTGCTAACGTCTTCACGGCCGTGCACTCAAACAACTCAAACAAATGTATCAAACACATTCAACGAGACAGCAACTCTGTTCCAAACGCAGCTCAAGGATTACACGAAACGTCATTAGTGTGACCTCATCACATTACGTAAGCTCGCGCAATTTGATAGTTCCGTGCTGCTATCACCGGTGAAATAGGGCCCAGGTAAAATGCAGAGCCATGAATACCTGGCTACCATATACATGCATTACATAACGCAAACCGCTATCACCGCAATTTAACATTTCAAGCACGGAGACGACCTGGATCCCTTTCATCCTCCTTTGCAATAATGACAATTACGAAATGCTGTCAAAATAGTACAATAAAACATGAATTATGCAATAAAATTCAAATAAATCTAAATATCAATATAACAGGCAACAGCCAACATACTCGATACGGCTTAGCTCCGTAACTTGAACAACGACTTGAACTGAGAATGATACGGCTCAACACTAACCCCGCGTTCGATGTCTCTCGGACGACGAAGATTCTACGTCGTCTGGCCAATCCCGTCCAAGGTTAGTGGGGGCTTGGCTGCGGTTATGGAGCGTGATTGGCCGGACGGCGTAGAATCTTCGTCGTCCGAGAGACATCGAACGCGGGGTAAACACATTATAGAGTTCAGCGACTAAACAGCACTTTACTGCGCTGCATTTGTATTACTATACATAATCATTACGTAATTTTATGATGACGTCCGCCCCGCAAAAGACCATCGTCACTAACGACAACAGAGCTATGAACAATTGCTTTTTATGCACACAATTTTATGCATTGCTTAATGTTTTTTTTTGTCATTCAATGCCGTGTTGATCTTCTATTTTCAAAGATTAAAGCATAATGACGTCATAATCGATGTATCTATCAAGTGTTTTTATTTTTATATACCTTGGTGTGGTCTACCAACTTAGCGTTATAATTCGGCTGGGCTGGGCATATACCAATGCCATATATAGTGCATATACCTTGCTTTCGGCCTCCGTTCATCAGCTATAACTGTTTTCCAGCAATTTTCTTCACACAGCGGTGTGGGTTAAGTCAACATGAAGAAGCTGGATATTGATATTACTTTACCAGAATTACCGACTGATGAAGAAGTACATGATGATGTCAAAAATGCTCCCACAGATGACATTGTATTCACAGACCTGGCAGGTGAGTCATCATTGCTCCTTGAAAGATTTTGAAATGTTGAAAACTGAAAAGAAACCAGCCCTGATATGGATTGTCAAGAGCTGAATACGTTTTGCAGACGTGCTAGGGGGATGGACGTGACAACTCACCAAACCACTCAATGTGGGTGCATGGTGACAGGCTGAACCCATAGGCCAGTAGGCGGAACTATGGTCAAGCGTACCCATTTTCGGGAACGCATTTTCGTTCCCATGTTTGGGAACGATAAACCCAAATATGGGAATGCCATGTAGGCATTATTTAAAACAAGAAAAAGAACCGTTAAATGACGTCCAAAAAATATAAAACGATCGTGAACCGCCTGATATTTGTCTCAATATTGTTGGGAAAGAGTTTGATATTGTAAGGCCCATCGTAGTTTCAAATCGTTCCCCTATTTCTAAAGCAGTCCATCATCCGGGCCGCGAGCCCAAATTTGGGAACGCTCTCGTACACTGGCGCTGCAAGCGTTCCTTATTATGGGAACGGCGTACCCAAAATTGGGAACGATTTCACCGACGCCTTTCAGGGGCTCTTTTCATTAACACGCATCACGTCCAACGCCGCAAATTATTGTTAACGCAACAATCATCAGATGACCTTTCCGGCAAGACCGTCGCATGTTTCGCCCGGTCTTCTGCGCTTTTATTCCCGTCGATCTCGCAGCGGGCACGCCCCCCTCTGCAGGATTACGTAATTCACAACGCTCAGCGATGTTCAACAAGGTCTTCCATACCTATATCCACCGTCCGCGCTGAGGGTGGAGACATGTCAAGCACCTGTCTGTTTATCACCGATAGTTGACGAGTACAAGGAAGTATCCAAAAATGGGAACGCTGAATATGTTACACCCTCAAAACACCTAGTCCCAATGAAAATCTAGTTTTTTCCTTTCTTGATGAGTGTAAGTGGCAAAAGGCCTGGTAGGATGGGCACGAGGAATTATCGAAATCAGCATAAAAATTATAAATAAGCCACACAGAGCGAGCTATATAAGAGAAATTCCCCCAAAACGATCCAGTGTTGCCGTCCTGGTACTATAGTACCAGATCTGGTACTTTTTCGACCTTTCTGGTACGGAGGTACGCCTAAACGAAATCTGGTACTTTTTCGCCGAAATGCATTTTTTTTGGTATTTTAATATTTCTTTCGATCTAAAAAAATTATTTTAGTCAGGAGGGATGGTGTTTCTAACTTTCTTATCATAATGTCTCATGCATCGGATTCGGAATTATTGATACCTAAATTCCTGTTGTGTGCTAGTAAACAAGTGGAAAATTCGCGCGCCACACCGGCTGCCAAGGACGGTCCGCTGGCTACAGGCTGAGGCAGTTGTTCGTCCAAGGCAATATAACTTATAAGAGGTTGTGTCGTGAGCTGGGAATTGACCGGGCCCAAATGCAGCGATTTGTGGTACGGCTCGTAAGCTGAGATACCAATAACCAATGGTTGGGAATTGTAGTTGTATTGTGAACCAGTGGCGGCGGAAGGTATTTTGGGATGGGGGGGCACACCTGATCCTTCCCGGAACCTAGGGTACCCCCAAATCTAGTTTTCTCACCGGTTTTAGGCCACTTATTTTTCACCTCTTGGCCTTTACAACAAAAATAAAAAAATAAAACATTTGCAAATAAGTGAGATAATTAGTCTCATCTGAGTCAAGAAACTACCTTTTTGGTAACCTGGAATAAACGTTTAAAGCTTCCACACATGAGCTGTCAAGTCAGGTACGGGGACCCGCAGTTGCTACTGTACAGCGACCCTGAGTAAATTGTCCCAGCACCCTCACAGGGAACAACGATAAGCTGTCAGAGGGCACGCACAGAAAACCTCAGCTGCTCTTGTGCAGGGACCGGCAGTCGATATCAATGTTATCGGTTGTTACTGGACAGGACAGACGGCTAGAGTTGGGGTTCGTGTACAATAGCAACTGCGGGTCCCCGTACAGAGGGGGATTTTTTTACTTAAATAGGTATTGTCTTCCATTCAGCTTTTCTTTGAGGCCCTCGGCCGCTAATATGGGGAGGACAAGCTGCCCCGACGGTTCCTGGCCCTTTGAAACTTTGCGGGGGCAGAGACCCCCACGGCCCCAGAGTTGTGGGGGCAGGCTGCCCCCATGCTGCCCCCCGGCTCACGCGCCTATGCCGGCTGGCGTCTGGCAGAGTCGCGGGGAAAGGCCTGTGGCACGCTCAGACGCACTTTCGTGACGTCCGTGCCGCCTGCCGGGCCACTCGCGTTCCGTCCTACTCTTCCAGACTTCGGTTACCGGTAGCTCGTAGATAGCTCTGCTTGATTTCTGAGCATTAGGGGAGACCCGGGAGGTATGGGCCCCCTGGAGGTATGGGCCATCGCAGTTTTGAAGAAGTGTTGCGTATTTTTTCACATTTGACGGCGTTAACTGTTAGCAGCCATTTCATTATACAGCCCACGCGATTTTCAAAATCTTCCTCAGTCTTCTTTGGCAATGAGCGGTGATAAAGCGTTTTTCCCCTCTCCGAGTAAAATACGGTAAATACAGAAAATTCGTAATAAATTTGAGCCAGGCTCGTTTTTTATGTCAGACCATCGCTAACATAACGTTTAGAGCATGGAAATTATGACTGGATAGACAATATGAAGCTTTCTTGCAAGATTATGAGCTGAGATGTACGCACATGCTGGCGTCCTAGCCGGGAGGTTCGGGCCACCGACCCCCGTTGATCCTAAATAAATGAAAAGATGCTTTCATGGAATGAGCCCGTCAATAAGTTTTATTTTTGTCGCGCAGGGTCGAAAATTTAACTTCAAATTTCATTCGAACAGAAAAATATTATTGATCTTATATGATGGTGTATGATTGATTTTACCAAAATACATATGGGCCCAAGTGAACTCCATAAAGTAAGCTGTTGGCCGCTTATGCGGTTCCTGGGCTCTAGAGAGATCAAGGTAGATACCAGCCACGAGTATTCTTCTAATTGTCGAGAAAAGAATATGAAACATGGCACCGGCCCATACCTCCCGGGCCATGGCCCATACCTCCCGGTGTATTTTGATGGATCGAAAAAGCACATGATTTATTGAAAGTTATCTTGAGACAAAATAGTTGATCCCAGATGCATAATATCAGGCACACGTTGCAGGCGAAAGGCAATTTCACGTACACAAAGTGAAAAACCGGGTCTAGCCACTGCCCACTGGAAGAAAATTGCCTTTTCACAAAACCGGCCCATACCTCCCGGGTCTCCCCTATGTGTGGAGGGCGTTTGGTGGAAATAGTCCGTCACGGACTAGCTCGCCGGATAGCCCGTCGTGAAAACGGCTATTATCAATCCAAGTTACTCGCTATATCAACTTAACCCGCGCCGTGCTGGTGGCCTGAACTTTCCGCCGAGTGCTGGGGGGGGGGGGGGGCGTTTTCACGCCCCCCGTCTAACTCGGCTCCTGGGCCACGTAGCGACACGCGGTAAGCGGCAATCGAAAGAGCGTCAAAAATAAGGACGAAAACACTTCGGTCATTTTTTGGGTCAGGTCAAAGGTCAGGTCACCAGAGGTCACCAAAGGTAAAATGTTGACTATTTCAACATTTTGGAAACTGCCAACGGCTATCTCGGGAACCGATAGAGCTACAGCGCCGCGGAAAAGCGCATTCGATAACCCTTTTACAGACCTTTCTGAGTAATGTTCTCAGATTTGACCTCAGGTCAACGGTTTAGCCTCCAGAGGGCAAAAACTCCAAAAATAGCCGTTTTTACGAAAAACGTTTTTTCGTCAATAACTTTTGACTCATAAGCGCCATGACATTACTTTTGCCAGCATCGTGTTCCTCTCGTCGAGACGCGTCGAATGAACTATTTGTTGACCTTGAAAGGTCATTTTGAAAATTTGACCTCAGGTCAAGGTCATGACCTGACCGAAAAGAGTCATGTTGCATATCAGTCGATCCGTATCGTCGAGCTGAACACATCTGACGTGTTTTCACCGCTCTAGCACGTCTCTATCAAAAGTTATAGCCAAAAAACTGCTGGCGACCGTTCATGACCTGAGATGACCTCAGGGGCACACAGAGGGGTCACAGGTGCATTTTTCCTATTCAGTGTGTCATGTTTACCTATGAACCGATGTTTGAGAGCGTTTTGAACGATATTCGTCCAAAAGAGGCGCATTTCAATTTTCTCCCATTGACTTATAATGGAGAGGTCGCAAAATTGACCTGACCTTAGGTCACAGATATCAAAAATCCGAGATATACATTTTATACATACTGTTACTCATATCAATCGCTGAAAGTTTCAAAGTGATCGTTCAGTCGGT